CTTGGAGGAGTCCTAGGCCAAGCTATTGAGTAAGTTTCATCACTTTTTATTGGTTGGATTGTTGATTTTAATTCATGAACCCTAAGCTCATTTTGTATGAATTGTGTAGTTAGAGAGCTCAAATGGAAAATGTGTATTAGATAAATATGTCTTAAAATGATGTGTTGGAGCTATAAATGCAATAAAAATTATTAAGAAAATGTGCTCATAACTAAGGAAAATTTCGATGAAATGTCCTGACTTTGTGTTGGAGATTGTTGTTAGGATTGTGTAATTGGATTGTTGTATGGTTGTATGAGTTAATAATAGGATTGTATGAGGTGTGAAGTAGTTGAATTGGATTGAAAATTCCTTGGTATATGCTTATGTGCTTTCGGCCTTGTGAGGGAAAATGAGGAATGGATGTTGTAAAAATTAATTGGTTGATGTGTTGTGTTGTTAAATGGCAATTAGAAGGGTTGTAAGAGAACCAAGGCATTTCTGGTTCTCGTGTGCCATCCAATGATTATTAGGTACAAATTGAGGTCATAGAACACTTTTGCAAACTTGGGGATTATTGGAAAAACAAAGGAAACTCTGACGAATTTTCTAGAAATTGGCAGAATTTAGGCAAATTTTGGGAGAGCATATCTCCCTCCACAGAGGTCCGATAGGGACATGCCATATGCCGCTTTGAATCTTGAGATGTCCTCTATCTTGTGGTAAAATTCAGGATTTTTCTGGGTTGGGCGTAGGCCTGTAGGAGGCAGAGAACACAGACTGCCCTGTTGGCCCCTGCACATGGGGCTGATATGGAGCGAACTTGGGGAATTTATTCCCGCTTTGTATCTTGGTCAAATTAGGTATATGATATGTCAAATTGAAGCTTGGGGTGTCTAGTCTGTTGTATAAAAATTTGAGAGCAATTGGTTGAGTTGATTTTCCATAATAATTGATTAAGTGAAGGGCTGTTTGGAGCTGTTTTGGAGTTGGCTGGCAGATTTGCTTGTCCAACTTCAAACGGCGATATCCGGAGCAAACAAAAACTTTATGACTCGTGTGATATCTTTCTAGAAAGTTAATTAAATCTAGAATAACATATTAAAATATGGGAGACTTTTTGTATGTGGTTTGTCCACAGAAAATTAAAGACCGAACCATGTTCGGGGAGGTAGAAAACATAAAAGTTAGATTTTAGCTAAGTGGGTTTATGGGAACCCCTTAGTGACTTGAGAGAAGTAATATATGTTATAAAAGTAGCTTAAATAATTATTCCTCAAAGAGTTTACAGTTACGGTCACAGCTTTTATTTACTACGCTTTTTATGGTTTTAAATGCTCGCGTAATAAACGGAACAAGTTTACTCGCATTTTTATAAATGAATTGCTATGATTGTAACTGCGTTTAATGTCATAATTAACGTTAACAATACCGGTGTACAACGGGCTGTTACAATTAACCTAAGACTAGGTCAAATCAGCGCCCTCATAAAATCTCAATCGTATTGGGTGATTTCCTTAATTTTATCCAATCAATCAAATTGATTGATTTTCCCAATTTCAGCCAATTAATTTAATTAATTGATTTTCTTAATTTTATCCAATCAATTCTATTGATTGATTTCCCAAATTTTAGTCAATCAATTTAATTAATTGGCTTTCTTAATTTTGGTCAATCAATCCAATTAATTTGTTTCCCCAATTTCAGTCAATTAATTTAATTAATTGATTTCCTTAATTTTGGTCAATCAATCCAATTGATTTGTTTCCCCAATTTTAGCCAATTAATTTAATTAATTGGTTTCCTTAATTTTGGTTAATCAATCTAATTAATTGGTTTCCAATCAATCTAATTAATTGGTTTCCAATCATAATTGATTGATTTCCTTTATTTTCTCCATCTTCATTAAATCTAATTTATTGACTATATTTAAATTTAAATTAATTTTATTTAAATTCAAATTTTAAATTCGAAATTCGAAATCAGAATTCAAATTATTTAAATTCAAATTTCAAAATTAGAGTTCAAAATAATTTTATTAATTTAACATTTAAATTAATTAGGTTACATCATGGATCAAGTCCAACTTGACCCATGATGCCACCTACTCTCTCTTGTTCCATTATGTGGGTTTTTCCAATTTAGGCCCATTATGCCTTATTGGGCCTAAACCACATATGCCAGAATTCAAGACAACCTAAGGTGTTTATGTGTTACCCATCAGACCCAACATAGCCACTGACATAAATGGGCTTGAGCCCATTTCGCCCAATCCATCTAATGACAACACAGAGCACTAGTAATGCTTTGTTGTCCGAGAGCTAGTTGAGTTCATCGAATGATCAACCTATTATACCTTTTTGGGTACCGTGTGAATTGTCATTTCGTCTCAGTTATCCGTCCCATTGACCTAGGTCAAGAAAAATGTATCAACACTTGCGATCTAGGGTTAGCTTTTGCCGAAACAGAAAATCTTCATTTACGGACTCTAAAGAGCAGGTCATCTCATACTCCTTTACTATGCATAGATTCCTGAGTCCCGTAAATGTCATCCTGATTTCACCGATCTACGGATAACCTAATCTCTCGTAGAGATTGACGAATTCTTTTAGCTTGTCACACTAGCCCTGAGTCCTTAGGGCATGCCTAAGAGTATACCTATGAGTCTCCATGTTTCAGGCAGACAAGGTATACAATCAAAGCAAGCCTTCCAGAACACAGGTCTATATGACAACGCCAGGTCTAAGGAAAGACACACCCAAATAATAAGAGACATTACCTATTGATACTATCTGTGAGATTTCCTTGTAGTGTCTCTTTGTGGGTCAGTTCAGTGCGAGCTATTCTCCAATAGGTCCACCCACGAGTCAGCTAAGACATCTCCATGTCTGTAGCTCACGAGGACTCTACCTTGCATCTCCATGCAAGTAGCTGAGTCGTGCTAGTCTTACCAGAGATCCCCAATGCCTATTATCGGTATCTCTAGACTATGAACATATTTTTAGCAATGGACGTGTGGTGTCATTGAGCCCTCATGATCGTGATCCTTATCATAAATCCTCAATGTGACACTCGTTCCATTATAAGGGCTTTATCTAGTTACTCGTATTCAATATTTGAGACGTGCAATATGAAACAAGATAAAGAATGATTTTATTCATAAAATTTATTCATAACAAATAAAGAAGTACATGGTCCATCTTACTCTCAGATTGTCTCTAGGACACCTATGTACTAACACCAGGCCTATAAGCCTACAGGCTGGCCTATATCATATTATTTATTTTAAATTAAATAAAATAATATTTTGCATAGTAGTACCAAATGGTGATAGTTCAGTTGGTGCATGTGAGCTAAGTAGGTGGTGGAAGGACTTATGTTCATTCCTTCACCAATATTATCTTTAGGAGTGGCATAAAATCTATACAATCTCTTGAGTATCATCAGAATCAACATTTAGTGCTGGAGGAAGAGTTATTAATGCCTATTGTTCTAACTTGGCCGAAGATACCATCCAAGCTTTAATATACGATGAAGATTGGTTACGTAATAGGTATGACTTGAAGAAAAAACAAAAGGTATAAATTTAATCAATTGAAATTATTTTATAATTTGATTATATTCGATTAAATTTTGATAGAAATTTAACTTTATTTTTTATATTGGAGGAACCATCATCTCAGCGTGTGAGATTGCCTATATAAATCTATTAAAAGATTTTTTGTTTCTTAATCTTATTTTTTTTGTTTCTATTCTTTATTCTTGTTTTTTGTTTTCTACATTTATAAATTGTTTGCCAACTTATGTAATCTTGGAATTGTATTTGTAGGGGAGAGAAGATGAAGAGAAGTCTTTGGCTACTACAAGCATCATGATGTGTTTGTTGGATTCATGTAGTTATTTTAATTTACATAGTATAGATTTGTTTGTTGAATCTGATGAAATATATATTATTTAGTTTGAGCATTTTGCTTTTGAAAGTGACTTAAATGCAGATTGTGATGAGTTTTGTTGTGATTCATGGTTCTATTTGGACATTGAAATTGTGATTTTTGTTTTGGCAACAAAATTTGAGTATTTTGTGAAGTTGATACATGGTTCTGCTTGGAGGTAAAAAATTAACAGGCTAACGAGCCAAGCCAGGCCATTTATTTTTTTTATAAATGGGCCAAGTCAAGCTAATAGTTAGACTCGTACTAGGCTCGGGTCAGGCCAAATTAAAATTTTTTAGCATATGCTTGGGGTTTTCGGGGCAAAGCTCGGCCTAGCTCAGCCCACTTTCACCCTTAGCTGTGCCGTTACATATTAAGGGAAAATAAATATTTTTCGTATTCGCGGGTCGGGTCATATTTTCAACCCGCCCCATTGGGTTGTGGGTTAAAATGGGTTGGCGGTGGGTTGGCCCGCCAAGTCAAATTTTTTTTTTTTACTACTAGGTAGTATTTTATTTGTTTTTAAGCTTGTGATATCCAATTTTTTGTTATCTTAGTACTCTCTAGAAAAAATAAAGAAGAAAAACTTTATTTATGATAAAGGTAAAACCGCATCAATACAGTGGTTTCTCTATAAATATGCCAACATGTATGCAGAGCCTAGTACACGAAAATGAATTAAACAAGAAATCACAATAAATCACTTTAACATCATATCAAAAAAAAAAAACTTAAGAAAATAAGTGTATAGGTCTTTTCACTAATTCTTATTTTGTCCAATTTTTAAACAACATGAAACTGATGACTCACATTTAAATTTCAAATAGGACGCCGTTAGGTAATGACTACCCATTTGGGTAAAACGTACAAGATTCCCTTGTTCATGTAAGCAAGTTTCAAGTAACTGGTGAGCTACCATTAGCTCAACTAACCAAGAAAATTTGTTGAGAAACTTAGTGTTAAAATTCCGAAGCAACTTTCTCTTACAGGCTTTTGCTAATCAAATTAATGGGCATGCCCAATATCTTGATACATTTTTCTTAGTGTTTCTTTCATTCTCTCCATAGCCTTCCTTTCGCACAATAGGGAATGGCAGAAAAGAAAGATGAGAAGGGCAAAGATAAAATAGAAGTAAAGGAAGAAAAGAAAACCGAAGTGATCACTGCTATTTACAAAGTTAACCTGCATTGTCCGAAATGTGGAAAAAAGATCAAGAAGCATCTCATGACTACCCAAGGTATGAACTATGAACTTATTTTAATTAATGTTTTTTCCATATGATTTTATTTATGGATTTCTTATTTTATGATTTTTTTCTTTTTTTACATTTATGAATAGAATTATTAATGGTTTTTTTAGCAGGGGTACATACTGTGGATTGGGATATTGAGAAAGGAGAAATCAAGGCAAAAGGGAAATTAGACCCTTTGAAAATCTTGGAGATTATAGAGAAGAAGAGCAAGAGAAAAGTTGAATTAATATCACCAAAAGTGAAGCCTAAGGAGATTACCATTACGGATAAAAAGCCAAAGGAAATCAAAGAAGTGAGTTATTCTTTCTTTTATTTGACAGATTATATAAATGTGGTTAAAGAAAAAAATTAATTTTATTCAATCATATAATGATTAAATTTTATTGAATGAAAATGGAAATATAAAAGGTGGGTTTATGTGTAATGATCAAGGTGTAATCCGGAGTTCAGAAATGAAAATGGTTTTAACTTAAAATAGCTAGCATATAAAATATTCTATATTTTTGTTAGATTAAAATTATAAGAGTAAATATCATTTTAGGTCCCTAACAAAAAACACGGTCCCCACTTCAGTCCCCTATAAAAAAAATTAGTCGTCTGGTTCATATGAAATTCAAAGTGGACCCATTTTAGTCCTCTTGAGAAACTAATGTGGGTCTTTTTTAAATTTGTGAGGGACTACGATTTCAACTAAATGGGTCCATTTTGAATTTCTTATGGACCTCAAGACTAATTTTTTTTTTATAAGGGACTAAAGTGGGGACCGTATTTTTTGTTAGGGACCCAAAAGGGTATTTATTCAAATTATAATATAATCTTCGTATAAAAAATAATAAAATTATTTTTTATTTTTTAATTAAACTTAGCTCTTTCTGGTTGATGTTTTAATAGTTTTATAAAAAAAATATAAATATAAAAAGAAAGTTAATATTTTACAAGTAAACTTCTAGTTATAACGATATCACAAAATTTTCGAATAAAAATATGTTGTGTAAATTTTGGTCATTAACTTTTCATTCGAAAAGTCTTTTTAAGATAAAGCTTATAAGCTTGAAAATATATCTGGCTAATTAGTCTTTGCAGATTACAAAATGTTTCAATTCACTATGAATTATTTCATTTTCCTTTAAAACTCTAAAACATATTAATTTGATGATGTGGGGCCTTTTTTCTGTTTGTCACTTTTATGTGAAAGTTTTAATAGATAATTAATTTTAAATTATTTAGTGAAATTTATTTTAAATAAAATTAAGGGAAAAGTATTTCTCCAGTCACCGGAGATAAAATTATCTCCAGTGAGCTCAAAACGACGTCGTTCTGAAGTTATAAAATTAAAAATTATAATGATAAAGACTAATATAACCCTGCAATATATTATAATTACAAAAACACCTTGATTTCTGCTCCAAAACGATGTCGTTTTGAGCTTACTGGAGATAATTTTATCTCCAATACCCATAAATTAAATAAACGTTAGTTAGATAAAAATTCCAATAAATATAAGATGTAAGTATGTAACAATAAATCTACCTTTTAATGAATATTTGAATTATTTTTGAGACTGAGTACGGCAACTAATTTTTTCGTGTGTGATTTCTAGCCAATTATTCGCACTATCACGGTGAAGGCTTTCATGCATTGTGACAAATGTGAGGCTGACCTAAAAAGTAGACTAATAAAGCACAAAGGTATATAACTCAAAACTATAGTGATAGATTTATATAATATTTGAATATTTCCATCTAAAACAAGCATGAATTAACTTAATTTTGATTTTACGAGATGCAGGTATTTTTAATGTTAAAACCGACAAGAAAGCCGAAACTGTAACAGTTGAAGGTACCATTGAAGTGGATAAATTGATATCATTTATGAGAAAAAGAGTGCATAAACATGCAGAGGTTATTTCTATAAAGGAAGAAAAAAAGGAGGAAAAGAAAGAAAAGATAGAAAAGGGCAAAGAAGAAAAAAAGTCTTCAGAAACTACCAAAGAAAAAGAAGTGGTTAAGATTAGTGAATCAACCAAGGAAAAAGGTGATGGAAAGTCTGGTGAAACTACCAAAGTAATAGAAATTCATGAAGGGTATACAAAAGAGGAGACTAAGAAAAAGGAAAATGTTCCTTATATCATTCACTATGTCTATGCACCACAGCTTTTCAGTGATGAGAATCCCAATTCGTGTTCTATATCATAGTTGGAGTAAAAAGTTATCTAAGTAAATTATTATCATTGTAGAGTTTATCTCTTCAGTAATTTTCACTTCCTAGTTGTTTGTAAAATGCAGGTGCATAATTTCAAATTCAGTACATTTAACATTTTAGTATCATATTAATGCATATGCTTCTTCGTTTTTTATATATAATTGTATTAATTCTTAGTTTGTTCTGCTTGATATACTATTAAACTGTTTATTTAATAATGTCTTCGGCCAATTCAAAGGGTTATTTCTCCAATGCAAGACAATAGATTGTTTTAGACAATATTTCAAACAATAATTTGTTATACAACATAGAAAAGGCTTCATTATCACGAAATTTTTTCACAAAAAATATTCCATAAAAAATAATGATGGAAATTTCAATAGAAATTTAATTCTGTCGAAAAAAGAAACGGAAAGAATTTCCCTTGGAAATAGAAACGGAAGAACTTTCAGTTATAATCAGTGACTGGCATTTTTTAACGGAAAAAAAATTCCGAGAAAATTTTCAACGAAATTTAAATTGCATCAAATTCGTCATTGAAATCTTCAAAGAAGATTATCTCGTCAAAAATTTCAACATAAATGATTCTGTCGAAAATTTCAACGAAAAGGATAAAAATTTTCACAGAATTTGAATTCCATTGAAAATTTTCACAAAAAGAAAATTTCCTTCGAAGACTTCGATTGAAATGATTCCGTTGAAAATTCCGACAAAAAACACATTAACTTTGATGAAAAAATAAGAAAATTTTAAAATTAAGCATATTAAAAATATTTATTTCTTCAAGTTATAGTTAAATTTAATTTTTGTTAAAATATTTTATTTATAACCATTCTATTAGAAATATTCAAATGTGAGTAGTAATGAAGTCTATATCGGTTAAACATGAACCAAATGATGATCATATAAAAGCGAAAGACCCATAGACCTATAACCTTAAGGTTTTGGATTGAGATTGTCGACCCACTTATTATGGTTTGTTGCTTGGCCTATTAGTGGAAGAGTTCTTTGTAAAGGATTTCGGGTTCCCCATACCATTCTCAACAGTGGTATCAGAGCCAACGGTTTGGCTAGGTCGAGTACATAGAGATGGTGATGCATTTGAAGAAGCCTCCGCAGAAGGCTAATGTGACCCTGATATTTGAAGAGAAAAGACTTCCGCATAAGTTGCCCTTATGGAGGAGCATGATATTGGGCCACACTTAAGGGGAGGATGTTAGAAATATTCTAGTGTGAATAATAATGAAGTCCCACATCGGATAAACATGAACCAAGTGAGGACCATATAAGTGCGAAAGATCCGTAGACTTACAATTTTAAAGTTTTGAGTTGAGATGTGATATCGGCCCACTTATTATGATTTGTTGCTTGGCTCATTAGTGGAATAATCCTTTGTAAAGAATTTTGGGGGGCTCCTCATACCATTCTCAGCACATTCTGATGATTATTAATTGACAAATATTTAAAACTTATAATACACATTTCTTTAATAACACTTTTTAAAAAATAATGGAATGAAATAAAAATATTTTATATAAGATTTTTAGATATTTTTAAAAACACATGCCTTTTTATGATTTGTGCAATCAAATTATTCTCCGCATAAGACCAATTAAAAAATTTTAAATTATAGTAATATTTGAAAAGTGATTATAGGTCATCGTCTAAATAAAATTAAGGTTAAATTACATAAAAGTTCCTCCAACTTAAATGTCTTTTCAAAAAACCACCGTATGCTCTCAGTTGAATCAATTAGCCCACTGACGGACTCACTCTGTTGTCTGTGTCTGCACATGCAGACACAAAAATTTGAAATTTTTTTTTCAAAGGGGTGGGTGATTTAGATCAAGTAAAAAAAATTTAAGAAGATTAAAAAGAAAAAAAGTAAACATAAGCCCAACCATGGTAGTTAAAATCGGGATCTTATCTAAAATCTGAAGGAGGATAAAAAATTGTAGGTTCGTAGTAATTCAACAAATCTCAATGAAAGGTAACTTTCTATATTTAATTTTTTTTTTTGGTGAACTGTATGTATTTTATTTGTTATTGTAACAGCTTAGTTGACTCTTGATTATTAATTTTTTTTATGTTAAGTTAAAGTTTTCTTTTCTTATTTATATATTTTTTAATACATTTAAAATTTTCTAAAAATCTTCGGGAGCGCCGCCCCCGAACCCCCGCCTTAAATGTGCCCACATAAAAAAAAAAATTTGGGTCCGCCACTGAATTAGCCCCTTACACTTTAACATTAGATCAATTAAATAAATTTTTATCTTTAAGATAAAAATATCCCTATCTTCAACATACTATCAGTTACTGTATCATCAAACATTGCTTGTGGTTCATAACCACAACGCCTCTCGCCGCTGCCTCCTGCAAGTGCCGCACAATAAAAACTAAACGAAACAAAAATTAATAATCCTTAATATATATATATATATATATATATATATATATATATATATATATATATATATATATAATCTGATACAAAGACTCATCCCTTATTTATTCCTTCAAAATGAATGCAAATGATTTTAGGATGGTAGGTTCTCCAATATATGTAGATGTACTTAAGAGCAAAACTAAAGAGAAAGAAAATAAAATAATGAAGGGGTTCAAATATTTCAACAAATATGTTCAATTTCAGGTGCATCTCAATAATAAAATTTTCTTCACAAGTCAACAACATTTATTGTATTCCAGGCCATGGCATAAGGTGAAAGAAATTTTCACTTTCAGCTCATAATTCGATTCAAACATGGGAGGGAGCACTTTGCTTCTGACATTGATTTATGTTGCGAAAGCTGATGAGGTGGTTGTAGATGACGGGTCATGGACTGAGGCTGATAGCTGGATTTGTAGCATCTACAATGAGGTGGTGTGATGGATCAGCTTTAAGCAACTATGTTTATGTTTGCATCAGAGTTACTGTTAGTATATGGATGTCCTAGAGACAATCTTTTAATTAGATTAGGACATATGTGGACCTTTGTATTGTCGCAAATAAATAAAAGCACTATTTATCCTATTTCATATTTTGTCTCAATATTACTGTTAATATTTTATATGAGTAACTGGATAAACCCCTTGGAATAAAATAGGTATCTCTTGAGTATCTGTGATGAGATCACGATCATGAGGATTCAAGGATACTGGATATTTATTCCTAATTTTTTGTTCCTAGTCTAGAGACACTGAGAATGGGGATCAGTGATCTCGGGTAAGACTAGCACGACTTATCTACTTGTATTCGGATGCAAGGTAAAGACCTCATGAGCTACAGATATGGAGATGTCTTAGCTAAGGTCGTGGGTGGATCTATAAGGGTATAGCTCGCACTGAACAGACCCACAAAAGAGACTCTATGAGAAAATCTCACAGAGAGTATCATTAGAGTAATCTCTTTATATTTGAGTATGTCTTTCCTTATACCAGAAGTTATTACCTAGACTGTGTTCTAGAAGGCATGCTTTGACTGTATACCTTGTCTGCCTGAAACATGGAGACTCATAGGTATAGTGTTGGGCTTGCCCTGAAAGAGCACAGGGCTAGGGTGATAAGCTGAAGGAATTCGTCAAATCTCTGTGAGAGATTAGGTTATCTGTAAACCGGAGAAATCGGGAAGACATTTACAGGGACTCGGGAATCTATGCATAGTAAAAGAGATCATGAGATGATCTGCCTTTAGAGTCAGTAAATTTAAGATTCCCTATTTCGAATAAAGCTTACCCTAAACCGCAAGGGTTGATACGCTTCCTTACCCTAGGTTTTATGGGAAGGTAACCGAGACGAAAAGAAATACATACGGCAACCAAATATGTGTAATAGGATGATCAAGTCATTAATCTAACTAGCTCTGGGGCAACAAAGCATTGCTAGTGCTCTGTGTTGTCATTAAATGGGTTGTGGGCTTGTTGGGCCCGAGCCCATTTATGTCAGTGCTATGTTGGACCTAATGGGTCACACACTAACACCTTAATGTCGTGATGCTATAGCATTAAAGGTATTGGGCCTAATAATGGTTATTTGCCCAAGATGAAGTTTGGAAGCCCACCTAAGAGGGAGAGGGCGCATGGTATTGTTAATGGGCTTGGATGGTCCAAGACAATACTAATTAATTTAATTAGTTAAATTAATTGTCAAATATTTAAATTTTGAATTTTGAATTTGAATTTTGAATTTTGAAATTTGAATTTTGAATTTGAATTTTGAAATTCGAATTTTGAATTTTGAAATTTGAATTTTAAATTTGAATTTGAAATTTGAATTTGAATTTAGAATTTAAATGTTTGAACGTTTGAATTTAAATGTTTGAATTCGAATTTGAATTGGCTATGAAAAGTTGTTTCATAACAAAAGGATAAGATGAGATCTTGTTGAAACAAATCCCTTGTATCAAGAGAAGATCTATGGAGATCTCCAAGGGCTGATTTGGGGTGCCATTTTGGTGGGAGATGATTGTCATCTTGTCAAACCAACAAGCTTTAATCAGATTTGGTTGTTGAGAGAATTAGTGAGCTAGTTGGTTCAAACTTGAATGCAACAGCTCAAATGTATCTGGACCCTTTTTGGGCTGAATAGGGGCGCATGAATTGGTGGTCATATGATGACCATTGGTTCAGAATTTTGACTAGATAAAGACCTAGTCTTATGAGGATTCAAAGGGGAGGTTGTTGGGATTTTTGAATTGCAACAACTCCACTTTTGTCTCACTCACTTGTGCGCCACTTTCATTATAAGTAAAGTAAAAATTCTGATTTGATACACTAATTCTCTCCCTCTCTTGTGCGCCTAGTTGGTGAGTTCCTCCTTAAGGTTTTTCAAAAGAACCTAGCCAATTCTTCTATATACCATTCTCACTCTTGTGAAGTTTTCATGCTGGAGACTTCACTCTTCTAAACACATATACCTAGCCTCCTTCTTCACCTATTGAGCACATAGCAAGCCTCTCTGTGGTGGTCAATTGGTGGCTTTCAAGAAAGTGTTCTTG